AATCAATACTCACATTGCTTTCTAGAGTATACCTGAGCTTCAGTGGAAGAAAACAAGGTCACTTTGTTGTGTGGATCTCCAAAATGTATGGCACAAGCAGTGTCTCAGTATTAGCCCTCATTTTGAGTTTCCAGCTCAAAGCATAATCAGGATCACTGCTGAGTCAATGCTCTTCCCTGTCTATTTGAGCATTCTCATCTCTCTCTTCTCCATAACTCACCTTGATGGCACCAACTACTGTCGTTGTAAGCGCAGAATTGTAATGACTGCATAGGACAGTAGAATACATCAAGAGAAACCTAAATAAATCAGAGGAGAAAATTTTATAAATTCCTTCCAGGGAGCTCAGAAGTTTAGTAACACTTTGAAATGTTCAACATTTTCTGGATCAGTATTTTGCTGGGATCTTCAATCCTACCTGTTCCAAACCCTAAAAAAAAGATTCTGTGGTTCTGCATTTTAAGTCAATGATGCGCATACACAGAGTACTCAAAACACACGTTAAAATGTGCTGCTTGAGCTCTAGCAGAGTCATCCCTATTTTCTGTGGTTCTTAAATGTCAGTAGTTGAAGTTAGTTTGACCCCTTGGTTGGTGATGTGTGACAGAGCAGAACAGGATCCAGCTCACTTTTTTGTTCTCACTTTGACTCCGCAGTTCCAACAGGAACAAAGCATTGTCTCATTACTTTTGAGTCTCCCATACTTTTCTGGGTACTTTAAAGAACAAACACACTGAAACAGTTCCTATACTAAAGAGCTTACGTTCTATTAACTGCAAAGAAGCAGTTAGATAATCAGAAGAGATGGCCAGTAGAGAGATACTGAGTACAGAAAGTAAAAAGCTAAATGTCATGTTGTTGACCACTGTACTTGTGAAGTCAACAACATAGTACTGAAACAGTTATTTACACTATTAGAAATAGTTAAAAGACAAGACAGAAGCCTGAGGGAAAATATTTTCTCTGAATTTTAACATAACTTATTAGTGAGTCTTACATTTGAGATTTGCAATTTGAAACTGTTATTTGCACTGTTATTAAAGTGTCTTACTTGATTGCTCTATGTCCTTACCCCAAAAAGCAGGAAAGAAGAAATTGAAAGACAAATAAAAAATTTGTCCAGTGCTGGAAATGCGTTGCCTATTAATAAAAAAGAGAGAGCATGAGAATTACGTGCTATATAATCAACTGCAAACACATATAAAATACAGTTAATATGAAAATGTGTAAAATCACAAAATATATTTGATTCACATTATAATTACAAAATGTTTATATTACTACTGGAAACAGTTTGATGCATTTAACTTCAGAGACAACAGGACGACAGCACCCATGATACCCAGACACATTCTCGTAACATACATAGCAGTGCAGATATAAAACTGCACACTGCAAGCAATGAATACAAATCCAGTACAAGGAATCTCTATTTTTATATTTATTGATACAGATACCAACACTGTGATTAATATTATATAATAAATAGTGTTGCTATCACACAGAGTAAAGCAAATAAATAAATAATCTCCTTGAAATCTATTTCGTACCATAGATTCATTCATGAACAGCTTTCAAGGTCCGAGCCTGCATTTTTGAGCTTGAAAGTAAATTAAATAAGCTTTACTAAGGTCTTTCATCAATGAAGGTCAAGGAAAAGGCTAAATCATCACTTTGAAGTCTGCTCCTTAGTGACATGCAACAAACAAACACACAATGTCACAGAACAGTCACTAAGAAACATGTCACAGATTCTTTTCCACCTCTAGTAACTCCAGGATACGCCTCATTTTAATCTTGTTAAAGTCACCTGTATCAGCACAAAACTCAGAAAAGGCTGAACACACCCTTGAGAAACAGGGTAAACGCTGTTAATCCATGCTGATCTGTGGCTAGCTGAGCCTCCAGCACCTGAGGTAATAGATTAGAGGGATCTCGGGGCAGCTGTGCCCTGATAGAATTGTGCTGGTGTGCAACAACAAATTCCAAAGAGACCTTCTGGGGCTTCATTTCTCTTCCATTGCATCATGCTTACCTGTCCTCCTAGTCCGCCAGCTGGTGAAGGTGGAGTGAGTAACTGGGACGCTAGCACACTGCAGTCTCTACAAGATGTGGTAGCTACTGCTCCAGAAAGAGCTAGAGGAGCAGAAGCAATCTCCCTATCGCATAGACAGGGTACTGATATTTTGACTGGCAAAAGGTACATGCTGTGCATTGTCATGGATCAAGGCAAAAATCTCTGCTAGGGTAAAAGCAAGCCAGCTCCTACAGCCTGAATCTGCTAAATGCAGGTTTATCTACACCGATTTGTTGACTTTTCATCAGTATTTTTCCATTTTCTACCCTTTTTCTGTGATTTAATCTCTGTGCACCATGTTGATACTAGTAATTCACATCATTTAATGGGACTTTTAATATTAAGTGACCAAGCCAATGCATATGCACAACTAGCACTAAGCATTTCTCAGATTTTTTTTTTTCCAGGTAATTGAGTATTAAGCTATGCCAAATCAACATGTGGGCACAACGTACTCTTTACTTTTCCCATGGACTAAATCTAGCAACAAGATAGATTTCCCTGTCCAGTTCTCCCAAAATGACTCCAGCCATGACTGCTGGAAAAGCAGCTGAAACCTTACAGTCATACAAACTTGACCGCCTCTAAGTCTGCCAAGAAGGGCATCAGCTGCATTTTCCTAAACTGGCATAAGGTCATGCTGGACTGACATCACAAGAAGAGATTTCACACTCAGAGCAGATCTAAAGCGATCATTTTTCAGGGAAGGACGATTTTTCCACTTAAAGCAGACTTCTAAGAACACAATGACAAAATCATGTGAGTCCAGGGCACAACAACATACAACAAAGGACACTGGAATGGTTTATGACACCCACAAGCTCTGTAACAATTTTCAGTGGCAAATCTCAAATATTTCCAAAAGGGAATATGAGTCTGTAGAATCATTTTACTGCTAAGAAAAAGGCACCTCACGAAGTCCGTGAGGGAGTCAGAAAAACAACACAAACGTCCTGGTCTGATACTTTACATGCCAGGACATACTGCCTACGGTATTATACTGTATTATGATTAGCTATGGAGAGTCATGCTGTCGTTCCGTAAGAATGTAAAATGTAGGTTACTAAACTAGACTGAGACTAAACAGGAATCTGTTCCGTGCATCAGAATGAGAGAAGGACTGAAAATTGTCTGGTTTCAGTTTTTGCAATCTTGTTTTAGAGCATGTGGCAATCACACAGTGCAGCTGGATTCCCAATCAATTGCTCTAGCTCAGAGTACCCAGTCATACATTTGTTTTTAAAAAAGACTCAGACAAGGGCTACCACACAGCTTCAGCTTCTCCTCAGAGTGAATAATTACAAGTTCTTACCTGTGAAGGGAAGTCCAAGTCACATATTTCAAATACTAGCCACTAATATGGAGGTAGGATTACCTCTTAAAAAACAAACAAACAAAAACCCCACCCACCCCTCCAACTGAAAAAAATGAACAAAACATTGTTATCAGTCTAAGATATGGAATATCGCTCCTTACCTGCTGAAAGTCTCCAGTAGAAAAGCTAATAATAACTGTTGGAACCACCATGAAACAAGCATTATAGAAAAGGACACCGTATTTTCCCAACTCCTGTGAAAAATGAAAGATGGTGTTTGGCATTGCAAGCCATTTGGGAGCAAAATACTAAATATTACTCTGGCAATCCTTCTGACATTATTGTCAATGAGTGGACAAAACATAATACACTTCAATTTAAAATACAAGCTTGCGATTGTTGGATTCAACGTTTAGTACTGAGCTGAGTTTCCATTTCAGTCACTTTGTATGTTCAGCAGAATACTACTACTCTGCTATACCTTGAAAAGTTTCTGTACAACACCAGCTAGTCAGAAACTTCCCAAGGCACTGGTCCAGAACTGCTCTGTGTTAGACTGCAGCGAAGCCTCTGCCTGGCCATGGGATTACCCATTCCATCTATCGCAAATCAACCACAAAAGCATAGGGCACGGCGGCTCCCTGGGGCCAGCATGGCAGGAAAATTAATGAAGCCTGACGCATAGCTGGAGCATCTGTAATCACTGGTAACTGATGTAACTTCAAGCAACTTGAGGGATGCCATATATCGTGTTGGTTAACTTGCTTGACACAAAGGCAGAAGATTAGGGGAATGAACAAGCAGTCTTCCCTTCCTCCACATTCAGCCACGCTATGAAGCAAATCTCTCCTGCTTATCTCTTGCTTTAAAATGAAACCCTCTATTTTGCAGAAACCTGAGAGGCCGTTAAGTGCTGTTCATAAAGAAAAATACAGAGTCTGGATTCGATGCGACTCCTGAGATTATTAAAATGTATGTATTTCCACAGTACAGGCAGACCCACAAAAGTCAGTGACAAAACCTCTATCCGGCATCTCCAAGACTGCTCTTCGCTACCGCTTGGTATGTTTTCATGGCACTGTATTTGAAGAGCAGCCTGCTCAATGTTTACACAAAGTATAATGTATCAAGGTATGGCCTAATTCTTTGGCACACCTGGGTTTGGTGTAGACCTGCTTTTAGATAACCAAAAAAGATATCAGTTGTTATCATTATTGACTCAAACTGGTCAGGTCTCTGTTGCTACTCACAAGTTTATTTTACATAAACCTCACTTAAAGTGTGTTTCTAGTCAAAAATTCACCTTCCTTAGATATATATATCAAGTTTACAGGTAAACGATTTGCTTTTGGTTTGGATTTATTTTACTTTTTAGCCAAAAACAATGTCTTAAAGCCACTACAAACTCTGCCTAAAAGACTTGGGAAAAAATAAAATACACCGTTTATCTAAGCCTGGCCTGAGATACTAATAACAAGTTTTTCCCAGGGTGTTCTGTATTAAGGATGCACATATCAACTGAAATATGAAAGCAAATGAAACTATTTATTAGTTCATAACTCTATGCTCATAAAGTCATATAATAAGTAACCCACTGTTATCATATTGTCATAATGTTAAATTGAACCTAATCACCCCACAGTTACCTTTGGATCGATTTTCTGCTTTGTGTAAACTCCATTGGCTGCTGTGAAGATATCATTTAGCAACACAAACGTGTAGCCCTCCAGATTAAAAGACAGATCTGACCTGGGAAAGAAATATTATATTATAAGTAAGCAAACAGTATACAATGCATTGCACCACCTTGTTTACCTAGAGCAGTATCATAAACATGGAAATGCAAATCCTGAGAACTCCAGCAAGTCACAGGTTTTGCTTTAAGCCTTCTTTGTAAGTCATGGTACTTTACGTTTCCCCAGTCACAGGACCCTCATGAGTGAGTCAGAGAGTTCCCACAACTCAGTGCGGAAGTGGCAGGAAATGTTCGGTTTTCATTCTGTGAAAAATTCCATCTGTCTCAATCCTGACAACCTGTTCAATTATTACTGAGTACACTTATCTATTTTTTTTACCACAAAAAGTAGCTAGGGAAAAAAGTATGACTACTTGTTTTTTACAGTCAGAGCAGACATATTGTTATCCTTTCTGTTTTGACTAGTTACCTCATGGATATAGGGTAATTAATTTAATAGGACATGGCTCTATCCGTGTCACATCGCATAGAAATTATTTACCTTTGTACACAGCAAAGCCAAGAAACAAAAAATAACATTACATTTCCAGTTAAGTAAAGCAATATCCAAACAGAACAAAACCAGAAGAGACTAACATACAAGTGCTTTGTGAACTTAACCTCACATTTGAACTTGCTAAAAGTGATTAAAAAAATAGATGTTGCGTAACTCAAAACAATATTTGACAACCAAAAGATCAGTCTTTCTAAATAGAACAAGAATATACTTTTCTAACTTTATTAAAATACACTGATATACTATGAAATAAAAGCAGCATTCCTCACACAGTTTTAACTTGCTTCATTTATGATCCTGCAAACATGGAAAACCCAGGTGAAAAAAAGAAGCACTCAAACACTTCCAGCTGGAGTTAAATTTTTCTTTTGTATTCCTGCACCTCCCAATGATACCAGCAGAGAGATTTTCCAAATCAGCTTAATTCAGAGTAACTGATCTCAGCTTAGGTTTACTTGGCACTTAACAAGGAAGAAAATCCTCCTGTTGTCCCTCCTCTCATAACATGACTTCATATAACAAATGAAAACCTTACCCAGCTGCTATGAAAGCCCCGAGAATGATGGCAAATACGCTGACTATAATACTCAGTGGGTATCGTTTCCTGTAGACAAAAATTAGACAGTTCACATTTTCATTATCTGAAGAGGAGATTAAATGGCTCTCTGCCTGAAAAGTTTCAAAGCAATTAATAATCACAGAACATTTAACAGGAGGGCACAGTCTCAATAACCTTACAGAAGCAATGTGATTGACTACATGCCACGCTGTCAGACTTTGGCCCTGAGAACAGAGATTGAGAAAGCATTGTGAGCATTCTGCTACTAGATAATTTTAAGAGTAAAGATTAAAGGTTTAAAGTAACAGTGCTGGAACGAACTGTAATCTACTGTGTATTGGTACTCACAATGGACATATTTCAATGTCTTCCAGTAATCCAATAAAGGAAAATCACTACACATCTCATGTAGTTTTTCATCTCGCCTTTCTTGGGGAAGATGCTGTACAGCACACTATCTGGGCTATTTTTCAAACAGATACTTATTTTGAAGTCAAACTGAAACCTTGTACTTGGAGGGGAAAGCACAGAAACTTATGTTCTTCAGTACGTCTATATCAGCACTGCCACAGAGTGGGGAAAAGCATACTGTAAAACTACCTTGCTTCTTATTTAGAATTACTTTACTTGGAAGTGTCTGAAGTATTTTTGCACCATACTGCAATGTGACTTACAGACACTTCTCGAGTCATTCTCTCAGGCCAGCCCCCAGCTCTGAGCTGGCCTGCAAGAAAAGATCCATCAAAACAAAATGTACAATGCTCTCAGAAAAATCCTGTGTGTCAAAGGAGCACAGATGTGGACCGCTGTCCCAACAACAAAGCTGTACGCAGTCTCTTGATATATTAGGCTTGGATCATAATGCATCTCAGCAGTTAACAACCCAAACCTTGACTACTTTTCAAATCCTGAGGTAAGCCAGCATAGACTCTCTGGAGTCCTTTCATTTTCAGCCCTGAGGAAACACACTGCAGCAGTCTGTACGAATAGAGTGTTCTGCTCTTCAGCTTCCCTTAGGTTAGGATGTTGCTTGCACTCATATACCACATTGCTGTAGTCCAGCTGAGAACTGATGACAATCTCACTGACTCACATTTTCCTCGCTTGCGGGAGGCCTCAGGCCAACAGGAGAAGACAGCAAGTTCAGCTTTCCCTGTGAGAGCTTACAACTAGAAAAGAATCCTGGAGCATTCCCAAATATGAATCACATTGATCAACTGCTGCTTCAGCCAAAAGGAGATGCTAATCTACTTGGAGGCTTTTTGAGAAGCTTTTCCCCTGAACATCACTCTCATCTTGCCTGGGTTCAGCTTCAGCAAGCTCCTTTTCCCCTTTGTGACCTCACCTTACCCAAGCACAAGCCATCTGGATGGAACTACGACAGTGACAAAGTATGATGTATTTATATTGCTGTTCTTCCAAATCTGTACAACGGAAACTAGCGATCCCAAGCTGCAATAGCATACACTTCTTAATTTCTCATTAAAAATAACCAATGTATCTATAATCAAGGAGTTTTCTGATCTAACAGCACATTGCCAGATACCATTTTGCTTCCTTAAACTGGTATGTTTTTAGACTTGACCCAGAAAGCAGACTACATAAGCAGACTGCCATACCATTGTCACTGTTTTGAGACATAAGGATCTGTCTGTCTAAAGCAGTTTGCAGCTTAGAGGCCTCCAAGATGAGACACAAACCATAACTGCTAAAACAAGTGTCTGAGTTGTGCTCTCCTTACCTGATTCCTGTGCAACAGTCAAGAGAATGAGCTGTGTAAATGAGGGCAAGCTGAATTTTTTTCCTCTATTCACTAAAGTGCATGTACCTATGTCTTCAAAAAAAGCTACATAAAACCACTTTCTTTGGTTTTCTCTATTTCTCTGTAAAAAGCACTCATTCGATATTCTGATGAGATGCCAGAAGTAACCCATTTGATATGATCTAAAATAAAGGTATCTTAAATGAAAAAAAAAAAAAAAAAGGATCTCACCCAAGTGATGATTTCCAGCAGTAAAGTAAGTGGAATGGTAAACTTCCTGAGCACTGTAAACATCGGCAAACTGTCAAAAAAAAAAAATCCAAGCACAGCATCAGATTAATAGCATTTTTATGTTCTAATTCTTATCTAATTTTACTAAGCAGAGGATGAAACCATTAGTCCAGCAATAAGCAACCAAAACAAATTCCCAGGCACTTAGCATACATAAAGAAAATGTCAGTCTGACACTAAAGGCAGATTAGATAACCAAATCTTTGAAAAATAACAAGATTTGCCAGCTGGTAAAACAATGCAACTGCTTATCTTCTAAAAGGCCCCTCTGCATCAGTGAAATGAAATATAAAAGCTAGTTTCCACCTAGCATAGCCTCTCTGAAATAATTCTTCCTGTAGAATTCACAGAAAGGATAAATAAAAATTATTTCTATTGTAAACTTAAAGACACACAGTAAACCTGTCTCTAAAAATACATAACAGAAATAAAATACAAAGCAAACATGCTTAGTAAACAAGCTGTACTTTCAAAAAAGTAAAATAAATTCACAAGAAAAAAAAACAGAGAAAGCAGAAGAAACACCAAAGGTGGGACCAGCTGCAACCACCAAACAAACAGCTACTTTTGAACACTATATTGTTGGTCTACACGAAGTGATGCAGTTGGAAACCTTTTTGATTAATTTGAGAAAACACTTGCATCTGACACTTTGGAAATCTGACAGCATGGCCATATGGACCAACTAATCCTCTGTTTAAGATAACTGTTAGCAACTGCATTAATAAATGATACAAATCCTAACACAGAACTTAACCACTTTACAACAGACATTTTGAAGTTATGCATAGGATCATCTACGCCTTACAGACAACCCAAACAAGGTGGAAAATCCCATAATATAAACAAATACAACATAATGTAACAAAATGCAAGGTAACAAAATGTTCGTGGTAGAAACACTGCAGCCATTCTTACTTTCCTGATACAAAAATCAGTTACGAATACTAAATCTAAAAGAAGTATGTCAGTCATAGGAGCAGGAGATGGTGCACTTATGTTTAAAATAGTCTAATAAACTTTTTATTTTAAAATTACAGTTAGGGAAACAGGGGAAAGAAGAACCCATGAATCAAATTCTTACAGGACTGAAACGACTTCCATATTCACTTCAGCTGAAGTGCTGCTAGGGACAGTACTGCCCAAGTCCTTATGTCTGCCTGAACAGTCACTTCAGTGGAACAACTTCTGAATGCCTACCACAAAGTGTTGCAGAATCAGGCGCTTAACATTTCAAAGTTATGAAATGCTGAAAACCTGCAAAATTCTGTGTTTTGGTTTAGCTTACTATCAAATCCTCAGGAGCCTGTAATAACATACAAGAAACCACCAAAATGGTAGTGCTGTATCCTCCAATCCTGGTGCAGCCGTCATGCTTCTGCATTCCTCTTCCATAGAAAATTTGGTCATTCAATCTGTTACAGCAAGTTCTCTACATAGCTTACACCTTTTTAGCACCAGCACGGAAGCAACTCTCATGCATGATCTGCGCTCACAGGCATACAGGAGCCAGCGAGCCCTTTAGCAATCTCCCCACAACGTGCTCTCGGGGCTCAGCAGGGCTATTCTGCGTGTCCTAAATAACCTCCACCAACATCATGGTACTAATCTTTCCCATATTCTTCCTCCTTCAAAAATGTCTTTCTTACAGCTTTCAAACTCTCTGGTTAGGACACCCAGGAAAAGCTGGATGCTTGGATATGAGGAGAAAGTGGAAACACTTTCATCGTCACACAGAGTATTGTGGTTTTCTGTCAGTACAGGCCTAGCTAACCCCCCCTTAAAAGAAGCAGACAGCTTGTAAACAGATCAAATGTTTGGGTAAGACTTTCATAATAATATCAGGGGTTTAGACAGACAGACATCACGTGCATTTAAGTCCCTACGCAATTTCTTTTTTTTTTAGTGTTTATTTTTTACCCCCACAAAAGAAAAGGGTAAAATCCAGACAGTCTACTTATAACTTCCATTTACTGTACCTGAGTTTGCTGGTACTTGATAATCCACTTATGTGGTTTCCAACATAAATCAGAGGCAGAGGAAACAACTGTGATAAAATTAAAAGCACAACTCAGATTATTATGTTTTGAAGTACTGTTGAGAAACTTTGATAGAATTTGACAACTTTAATATCAGATGTACTTTTAGTGAGAAAGAGGGTTTTTTAAGAAAAAAAATGTTACTATGCTGCAAACTGATCTGCAGCTCTCAGTCATGTGACCGTTCATGACCACAGCTTTGCTGATTTCATTAGAAGAGTCACAATATACCTCTGAGACTCAAGAGTCCATTTAGTGTAAATGTTAATAAATTTTATTTTAATTACTATAATCCTCAGATTAATACTCATTCTAACATTTCAACTTTAGGTATAAAAGTAATACTAGTAACAGGAACTAAATAAGCAAGAAAACAGGTGGAATAAAAGAATGAATAAGCTGTAAGTGTGCTATGCTTCTCTAGATAGTCCACATTTATTAGTATGCCTGGAAGATACACCATTTTAGATCTACCTAACAAATTATGCTACGTGAGACACTAGAAAGGAAAGGTAAGTATTTAGGGGTAAATTAAACTCTACCATTTCCAGCTTCTAGCATAATGAGACTGACTCCCACAGAAACATATGGGCCCTAATGCAATGAGAGAAGCAGTAACAGAACTTCAGAGTCTTAAGAAAATGTACCAGAAGTCAGGGATCCCTACACAATATTCAGCTGCAGTTCAAAGCTGTTATTCTCCCACTACAGAAAAGTTGCAGAAGATTAAAACTAGCCAAAGTAATCACTGGGGACAAAGGTGGTGTGTACATCTAGTCTTATTCATGACCAGTCAAGCAGAGCTGAAATGGCAGAAAGACAAACCAGATCCTCCATCCTAACATGTAATAGCTGCTGTTGTTGGGCCTACACACGCTTGAGGAGACACTGTGTTCGTTAGAGGCTATGTCTTCTCAAAGCACTGTGTGCTGGAAAAGCATATAGAGGAATGGGCTGCATTTTATCAATGTTAAAAACTCTGCGTTTCTTTTACAGCAAAGATGAGAGAGGAGGAAAGTACAGTAAAAGTTAACTATAGTTAACTAAAGTTAACTATGAAGTGAACGTAACAGTAGAAGTAAACCAGAGTATAAAGTAAGAGGAGTGTAAGTAACAGTAAGTATTCAGCCTGTCAACATAAGTTTGCAAAAATTTTGTAATACACAATCACTTCTACAGATTTTTATTTAGAAAACTATCTTCATTCATAGCGTGAAAACAGCTGACATTACATTCTCTTTCCTCTGAACTTCATCTATTGTAAAGGCAAAATCACAACATCCAGCACAACATCAGAGAACAATGAAACATTTACTTAAAAAGGGTCAAGAACTCCAAAGCTTCCTCACTAAAATAAGCACTTTGCTACTTTAAAACTCTAGCTGAAAGCACTGAGGACATAAACCAGCCTGGGAATGAAAAGCAACAATAACTTCAGTGTCAATGAAAGCACAAGTTGTCAAAAGAGTCAGTCAAAGGGTGCTTTAAAAAGTAAAGAAATCAACAATGAGCAATCCAGCTGATTCACTGTGACTAGTCAAATTCAGCACTACCAGCAATACGCAAGTCCTGGATGCTGCAGTAATGACTGCTCCCAGCATATCCAGGAGTCTTCCAAAGGACAGATATTAGGAGAAAGAAAACTGTATTTTGTAATGCCCTTGTACTGATTTTAAAGTGAAGACCACAGCAGGGAGGGAGAGTAGTGGGAATGAAGGGGTGCAGAGGGAAGAAACCTCTTGAGGTCTCAACAAGTTGTTTATATGCTGAACTCAAAACTACCCACTGGGAAACCTTCTTCATTCATCTTCTGGAAAAGATAAGGATTGCCCATTTTATAATTGATGCTACAGATATTCCTACAAGATTTCTACATGCAGAAATCCCAATGATTTCAGCAGGCATTAAGAAAATACAGCATTCACCAATGGCTGCGAGACATTCATAGTAAACCTCATACTGATAGTAAGACAAGATTCTGCAATGAAGATGCTGGCCTGAAACACTATGATATCTGAGCTCTATGGCAGAGCTGGGAGCTAACTCTCCCTGTACCTCTGACCAAACACTGAACAATACCTTGCAACAAGACATAAATGCGCAGGGTTATGCACCAAAGTAAACCTCCAGCAACACTGCACATGGATGCAAAAATCTGCAAGGATCATTGCTACAGTCATTTCAGATCCTAGCTCCCAATCTGAGACAAGACCCTCTTGCATTCTCTCTATCCTGCCTCTTTAGACCATGCATACTTAAGGTCTGCATGATGCAGCTAGCCCCTACCTACTGTATCTTTGGTGGGTATTATTTTAGCCCCTCCTACGGAACATAAATCTTACATTTGGAATCAATGGTTGTTCGGGTTTTTGGTCTATCATATATTCTTTTTCTACTATTTCATCACATGTCCCATTCAAATTTCCAAACAGCCTTTCATGCTGTGATCAAAATTCTTTCTTAAACACAGATCTCCCATTGATCCTGCAGGGAGCTGTACACATCCAGAAAAATACTTCAGGAATCTGAAAGAGTTCACCCAGCTCTACGAAGGCACAGCACACTTTCCTATGTACTGCATAACCAAATGGCACCAGATTTCTCTGCAAACAAAAGGCAAGAATACTGCAGTGAAATTAAAATGATCAAATCCGAATCTAAATGAAACAAAGATACAAATAAACACATTTGACAAACAAATGCAAAATTGTTTTCTCTTCTTCTTTTATATCTTGTCTCCATAAGAAAGAATTCCATTATAAGAGGTAACAATTTCTTATTAATATCAACCCTTACCTTTACAGGTATAGTTTTGTCAAAATCAGGGAAGTGAACAATCTTATTTAATTTTGACACATACAAAATAAGTATAGTGGCTGCCATCTAAACAAAAAGAAAAAACAAGAAGTCATGTAAGAGCAAAATTGTAATGTAAGAATGAAAGAACTGCTTCAAAGACAAACTCCTTATATGCATTTGACAAATGCTATGTATTAGGTATTTTTGTCAAACAACACCACAGCATGCAATGAATAAACAGGAATAACTTTATTCTTACCAATTTTGCCTGCTATTTATTTAAAAGTACAATATAAACATATGTTTTACTGGCTTGAGAAAATTAGTGGCACTCTGTGAAACAATGCATGCTGAGAAGGAGCTGAGAAAATAAAACAGGAGATGATCCTGAATAATCATGATATTTTCACTCAGAGCGTTGTTTAGTCTACAGAATCACTCCTACAGCTCCTACAGCTTTTTTGGTAATGTGAGGCAGGGGTTGTGCATTGATCAGGCTGTTGACAACAGGAGGAATGAATAATAAAGATACGGACAGAATGAGGGAGAGTATCTGAGCAATCACACATCATGAGAGTTAATGCTGGCCCCAGGAAGGAAAAAAAAATGTTAAATTTTCCTTATACAAAAATCCATGAATTGTCTATCTAGAAAATGGGCTGGAGTCACATTCTATAGACGAAAGTATTATACCATATTATATGCACTTTACAAACCATTTAGGGAAATCTTGGAAGGATCAGTCAACAAAAAATGGAAATGCCATTGAGTCTTAGGTTCTGCAAAGAAACAAGGCCATATCATTGCCCTTAACATGAAGTATTGCCATTTTCTAGTCTTTGGCTTCCACTGAAACATGATGTGTGACTCCTTGAGCAGTCTGGACACGTGAAACTCTCTTTCTCTCCCCCTCTCATACATCAAAGACTTTACAAGACATTTTACTCTCTTCAGCACCAAAGAGCAGAGATATCAGACCTGCAGTACCCTGTTTTCACCTCTTCCTCACTAATGCTTAGCTTGTAACCTTGGCAGAAAACAAATCCTCTCTTTTAAATGTATTTGCCTAAACAACACTTGCTTCAAGGCTCCATCCTTCCCAGCCATCCCTCTGCAGAGTCACATGTTCTTTATGGACTATGTACACAAACATTTGAACTTTGGTTTTATTACCATGCCTGCTAACAACAAAAAACATATTTCCGCTGCAGTACTGTAAATTGCCCTTGGGCAAATAAGGCAACAAAGAACCAAAACTGTGTGGCAGTCCTACTGGAAAACCAGTGGGAAAGGGGGGAGAGATTCATAAGGAAATACATGGTTTGTCTACAAATAGAGGCAATGTCTCTGCATATAACCCACAAATGCTCAAGGACTCAAAGATCTATGGACTCGTTAGAACAAATCCTGGCAGTTTTGAAGGCCAGGTCTCTTAATTACTCAACTCTACCAGGGGAAATAAATGGCATTTCCAGTCCTTTATGTGACTCTTCCTAGGCAACAGTTTTGACTTGAGCTGAAACTTCCTTTATCTTGCTAAAACAAATCACTCTTCCTTATGGTGCATCTAATCCAGAAGACGAGCAGTGCAGTGTATCAGAGATTTCTGCCCTAAAATATATCTCTATGCTAACATTAGTTTAACTTAAAAATAATGAGTACATTTAGTGTGCTTTACTTCTGAACATACCTGTCCAATTCCAAGAAACACTGGTGATGGGAAGCTGAAAAGCATAAACAGATATTTAATACTGAGAAAAGGGGAAGAAGAAGAGAAGCAAACAAAAAAGCAAAACAAAACAACAAAAAAAGAAGAATCTAAATTTTGCAACAAAGTCAACAACTGGACATGTGGATTGTGGATGACTGGCCAGTCTTTCAGAAGAGCTCAGGAGCTGCTACAGTTATTAAAGTCCTAATATTTTATTTCTGTAGCAAAACATAAGCTGCATCCAAATCAGCTGCACAGCCTATCAATTCTAAAGAGCTATTTGTTTTGGGAATATTTGTAAGTGAAGGCAACACACTTGGAGAACTCTAACAACACACAAGCTTTTGAGTGGCCTCACATAAGTTAAATCTCTTGTGCTTGCCCTAACTTGGAAGCTTATCTCCACCGCTGAAACACACTAGCAATATATTTTTGTGAAAAGAAAGTACCTACGTAAATGTTGTAGAAACAGGTATTGCCTGCTAAAATGGCCAAATTCCTACCATATCCCTTAAGTTAGTTTCAGCTGAAGGCATGGATTCTTGAATGTGAAGAAAGCAGAAGCTTTAGCAGGACACCTGAAGAGCCTGACCCCTTCCATTTTTTCCCCTAAATCTACATCAAGTTAAAACCAACAAAGGTGTGGCAGTAACTGCTAATTCTCTGTATTCATACTGAAATACAAGCAAAGAAGTTATTTATGACGGATGGCTGCTTTATGCCATCACCAGCAGTGTCTGGAACCTCTCTGACCAAAAGCCTTAGGTGTCAAGGAGCCCCCTGAATGTGGCAGCTCCTCCTGCCTCCCACGAGTCACGCAGCATTTTGCTGGACTGCACTGGCCGGGATGGTCACACACAAACCTGCATCCAAGGAATCTAAATAAAACCCACTTCATTCTCTGTGCACGCCTGCACTAACAAACGCCTAAGGAGGGTCCACGTTCTCAACAAGCTTTGTAATGTTCCATTTTCAGGGCTCCTTGAGGTTGTGGCTGTTTATCACAGAAGCCATCAAGAACTGCTACACTACTACTCAGTGTGCTGAGAAATGTACATCTCGGATGAGCACCACTGAGAGGGGAACACAATATTAGCAAAAGAAAGAAACGCTCTGAACTGCAGCACAAGGCCACTGGACACTGGAGTCATAACGTAGATAAAGCGTTAGAAGCGGCCAGTAGCAAAAGTGGTTCCAGGAAACAGAGGCATTAAGAGGAAAAAAGGAAGAAAAAAAAAAAGAGCAGAAGAAACAGGACTTCCATTTATAATCACGTGACACCTAAACCATCTTGTACTTACAGTGACACAATATAAATACACAGACTTCACTCATCTGTACTATGCAGATCCCTCCAGACTTTTTTGATTTGCAAAGCCCTAAACGTTCCCAGCAACGCTTCAAGCTTTTTATACAAAATTTAGTCTTACTGATGGGTATGCTGTCCTTCATTGTCTTTCATGGATGTGCTAGACATATGCCAGTGACTTAGAGGGAGCTGCAAACTATACGATAAAAACCACTATAAAACAAAATGACAAGTTGCCTCATGTATCGTTTCTGGGAGATGTTATATACAGCTCTTATGTGTTCAAACAGCACTGAATATTAAAAAATAACAGCAAGTTTTGCCTTTTTTTTTTACTTTTTTTCTTTCGTTCTGTTATTTTTTTTTCCTGTTGCTAGTTCATAATGACCTAAAACATGGCAAAACCAGGGCAAACCTTTTAAGAATATTAACAGTGAGAAGATCACAGCTACAGGATGACGACTCCGTATGGGACGGGGGGTCCTCAAGCCAACAGATGTAGTTCTTCAGTGTTTTTGTGATTAAGAGGTTTTCTGAACTTCACGTTTCGTTTTTGGCTACCTCAGAAAAGATAGGTGCTCGCAGGAAGGCAACGAGATTGCTTGGCTGGAAGAGTTACGGGAAACGCCGTTTCCCTGAAGGGTCCGAGCTGGTGCAACCAGTGCAACACCAGCCTCGACGCGGGGAACAACGAAAGACCTTCGAGGAAACGACTGGGGTGTTTCAGAAGCAGGCCTGCAAAGGACTCTGCCATGGGGTGGTGCTGCAGGAGCGGTACCTGCTGGGCATAAATCGGGTCCGAAACTGGAGACACCGACCCCAGTCTCAGCACGCTCCCCGACATGCCCGGTGTTCACGGGCCTGGGCCGGCGCGCCAGCTGACTGCCCCGGGACCCCAGCGGCACAGACGCCCCTGCGTCGTGCTAACGGTACGGAAAAGGCTTCCCCGACGGGCGGTACGGCTCGGCTCCGCTTCGGGAGCGAGGCACTACCCGCCCT